ACTCGATGGCACCTGACAACAACAACAACAACATCTTATATGCAGCCATCTTGTTAAATATCTGGTTGATCCTGATAATTTTTGTCCATTGTCTTGAATTCCTTTTTTTTAAGTTTTTATTATGATTGAATTTTTTTATATACATGATTATTAATTCATTGATAGTTCCAACTCAGCTACCTTGTATAGGGTTTCTGAGGAGTGACTGATAGGTTTGAACCACCAACCTTGTGGTTAGAAGTCCAGTGCTTATCCTGCAGCACCACTCCAAGAGTCTAGAATATTATATTACATCATCATACAATGTTCCTAGAATATTTGTAAAAAAAAAAAAAAACCCAAACTTTTGCTATGTTTGTTGAATACATGGATTATCAAGCTTATTGGCTTGGTTATTCAAATTCTTAATAACCAGCTGATGAAATTTAAAAAATGGTACAGATCATACACTGCAGCCCATGGGAGAGGTGCCATGAAGGGTCCTAAGTAAGGGAAAGGGACCCGATCCAGAGAAACAACCACAGCAGAGATGGAGGCAGAGATGAAGACATGGAGAGATTGAGCAGCTGAGGACTCTAGACTCATGGAAAGAGAAAGGCTGTGTGCTGGTGGCCAGGAGGCAGGCATGCAGAATGTGCCCTTGGGTTGTTTAAATGCTTATATGTTCCTGAGTGTTTTTGTGTACATCCAAAAAAAGAATGAAAACAGAGGGAATATTGTTGAATGATGATGCATGTAGGGGAATGTAATCATTGCAATGAAATGAAATACAATAGGATGAGTACAAAACTGATCTTCTCCCATGTAAACAATCACCCAATTCACAATAAAAGCCTTAAAAAAAAAAAAAGTTAGCAAATTAAACTGAAGAAATGGGGAAAAAAAGAGAGAGAATATAACTAATTTTCTTTTCCTTAAATATCCTCCTGCAACATCTTAAAAAATAAAAAATTAAGGGAAATAAATAGAACTGCTATTGCGTTTCCTATACAAACATCCTCTCCCCCCTACAACCAGAGACCTATTGCAATCAGAAAACGTGCTCTACATATTTAAACTCATTAGAAAGTTAATAAAATACCATTTTTAAAGTCTCATTTAAAAAAATCTCAATCTCATAATGAAATAGCACTCTGCAATAGGTGCTGTTATGAATCCCCCTTAACAGAGGAGAGACTGAAGAGTAGACAAGTCATAACTTGTCTGGGGTGACAAAGATGAACTGACTGATGGAGAACTGTGAGAGGCCAGGCAAGTTGGGAGGGACCACTCTGGAAAACAAGGTTTCCCAGGTGCACGGAGCCTGTGTGGAGTGTTACGAAGCTGAGCAGGGTATTTCTACTTGATGTGGCAGAAAACAGAAGCATGGGAGGCTTCTCAGTAGGGCCGTGACAGGAATAGAATTAGTATTTTTAAATAATCTGTTCTGCATTTTTAGATCTAATTGTCTAGGCAAATAATAACAGGGTCGACGGCACTTAACCACAACACCTACTTCTGTTGAGCCCGTTCTCAGGCTTTGCTTTAAGACCTTCACATGTATTTGCTTATTTCATCTTCACAACAACCCCGTTTTACAGATGAGAATACCAAAGCACGGCCTCCTGTTCACTATCCCACTCTCTGTCTGAGGGTTCCCTTAACTTTGGGTTTGGTGACTTTCTGGTAGAAAACTTGTTTTACATTCTCAGTCCTGTGCCCTCTCTAGGTGCCATAGGATCATTTAGATTTTTCCAGCATTCCTTGGCAGTTGGAGGAGACTGGGGTGTCCTCTCTCTCAGGCCATTTCTGCCCTACTGAAGCTGCCTCGTGCGTGAATTCTGCAGGAGGAAGCAGGGCCATAAGTCCTTGCTCTCTAGTGATCATCAAACACAACTGTGGCTTCCATCCCATCCCCTAAGTGAGCCAATGAGTGAAGCTTCATGCTTCATGAAACTCTAATTCTCTTCCCCAGGTTCCTTCCAACCGTAGAAACAGGACCTGAAGGAGAACCATACCACAGTACACTCATTTCTGCCCACCCTGTGGCTGACATGAATTCTATGCTCACTGTCTTCCAGGCTCTGCTAAGGGATGGTCGAGCTAAGATTATAGAATGAAAAAAACAAAACCCAACTTTTCTCTAGAAAGACTCCAACTCTTTCAGAATAATGGACCTGGGTTTTCAGAACATATACACTGTGTGTGTTTTTAAAATCCATTCAGAAATTCAGCCCCCTTCTGTGTTCTGGGCTTTATCTGGCTTCCACCCCAAGACCTTCAAAGCCACAGACCAAAGTGGTGGGAGGACTTGAGCCAACAATGAATACTCTCTGCTGTTGTCTCAATCAGTACACCTCTACTATCTACTGTGTGTCAAGTTGCTTGGTGATGCAACAGTTGAGCGCTCGACTGCAAACCTAAAGGTTGAAGATTAGAACTCACTCAAGGGATCTGTGGAAGAAAGACCTATCCATTTGCTCTCATAGAGATTACAACCAAGAAAACTTGATGGGTCTGTTCTACTTTGTCACATGGGGTCGTCATGAGTCAAAAATCCATGCAGAGGCAACTCACAACAACAACAATATCATATATCATGGTAATGATAAAAATGGATTTAATGTTCTAAGTGCTGTTGAGTCAGTTCTGACTCAGAGTGACCCAGTTTAGCATTTCTAAGAGCAGCTGTGGGTTTGAACTGCCAATCTCGTGGTTAACAGTACAGTGCTTCTCCTTCAGTGCCACACCAGGGTGGACTTGATACTCAATGATTTCAATTTGGAGTTGCATGGATTCAGGAGACAAAGTGATTTCTGTAAAGAAAAATTCATAAGATGTATCCGCACTTAAAGGCCTTTAGATCTTCCTCCATGTGTAATCCAAAAAGGTGAACACATATCTGGGGTTTAGATAGAAGAGACCAGATAAGACCAAAGGCTGCAGAAACAGAGGACTGGTGTCTGCTTTGTATATATTCCAGAATGATTTCACTGTCAAAATGGCATTGGGGGATAACTGTTAAGAGGGACTTCAGTCAAAATCTGTTGAATTGAAAGAGAGAGTGATATGAATCAAAACAGTTCAATGAAAATTCACTGGAAAAAAAGGCTGTTTATCAACTCCTGGCTCGAATTCAAAAGATGAGTAACCATACTTTTTCTTCTGTTCTGTCCCCAGCTGGAAAGGCAGCTAGTAATGCAGAATGAAATGAGAGAAAGACAGATGGCCATGCAAGTGGCTTGGTCTCGAGAATTCATCAAATATTTTGGAACCTTTTTTACCATTGCAGCCATCTCTTTAACAGCTGGGTATGTTTGCTATTTACATGACATTTTTCTTAAATAATTTACTTTTTTTTCTTTTTGGCTTTGTCATTTTCATATTATTAAATTGGCCAAGTTAGGATTTGGGTCCTATGTAAACAAAATGATGTTATCCATGGTATTTTTTCTGATGTCTTTGCATAGTCAATAAAACACAAGTAAACATCTTTGTGGTGTTCTCTGCTTTCAGCCAAGATCCATCTGACGTCAGCTCTGACATCTGCCGTTCTACATCCTCTTCGGGATCCGACTAAAATCTCTGGCAGCTCCTTATCAATGTATTTCTGCAATCATTCTTTAATTATCTTTCACAGAATTTCATTTGCATGTAATTATAAAGATGTTGCTGTTGTTATTCAGTGCCGTCAAGTCGATTTTGACTCACGGTGACCCTGTACAGAGTTTCCGAGGAACACCTGGTGGGTTTGAACCACAGATTTAAAAGATGCTCTTAGATAATTTCTGAATTTCATGGGGCCATCTTTCTTTGGAATGGATCTTTTCTAGTTGTTGGCTAGGTAGTTATTTTCCAAATGTCTTCTAAGCCCAAATGAATGAGTGCCTCCAGCACTGCATTGGTTTGTTGAAATATTTCAGTTGGTATTCCATCAATTCCTGGAGCTTTTAGTGTTTTTTTGTTTTGTTTTGTTGTCAATGCCTTTAGTAGCTTGTCCTTCTTCCTTTAATGCCACTGGTTCTTGATCATATGCTACCTCTTGAAATGGTTGAATCAATTCTTTCTGGTACAGTGACTCTGTATTCCTTCCATCTTCTTTTGGTATTTCCTATGTCATTCAATATTTTACCATGTTGCTGTTGTCGTAAGTTCTGTCAAGTCAGTTTCAACTCATAACCATTTGGTGTAGGGTTTCCAAGTTTGGACCATGGACCTTGTGGTTAGCAGTCTAGTGCTTATTCTATAGCACCAAACCAGGATTCCATTTTGCCCATAGAAGCCATCAATATTTCAGCTCAAGGCTTGAAGGTCTCCTTCAGTTCTCAAAGCTTGAGAAATGCTGAGTGTGTTCTTCCCTTTTCATTTTCTAACTCCAGGTCTTTGTACATTTCATTTATGGCACTTTGTTTTCTGGAGCTGCCCTTTGAAAAGTTCTGTTCTGCTCTTTTACTTCCTCATTTCTCTTTTTACTTTAGCTCCTCTATGTTCAAGAGCAAGTTGCAGAGTTTCTTCTGACATCCATCTTAGTCTTCTCTGTCTTTTCTGTCTTTTCAATGACTTTTTTCTTTCTTCACGTATGATAGTCTTGATTTCATTCCACAGTTCTTATGGTCTCTGGTCCTTAGTGTTCAATGCATTAAATCTGCCCTTGAGATGGTCTCAAAATTCAGGTGGGATGTGCTCAAGTCATATATTTGCTATCGTGGATGTGTTTTAATTTTCTTCAGCTTCCACCTGAAGTTGCATAAGAGCAACTGATAGTTTGTTCCACAGTTGGCTCCTGGCCTTATTTTGGCTGATGATATTGAGCTTCCCTAGCTTCTTTGTACAGATGAAGTCAATTTGATTCCTATATAATCTGGTGAGGTCCAGGTGTATGGTTGTCTTTTATGGTGTTGAAAAAAAGGTATTCTCAATGAGTAAGTCATTGATCTTGCAAAATTCTATCATGCGAGCTCCAGCATGGTTTCTATTATTATTGCCATATTTTCCAACTTGGGATTCCAACTTCTTCCTTATTCCTACTTTCACAGTCCAATCACCAGTAATTACCAGTGCAATTTGATTATATGTTTCATCAATTTGACTGCAGAAGTTGGTACAATCCTTCGATTTCATCATTGAGAACTTTGGTATCTACATTTGAATAATAATTATATCAGCTGGTCTTCCTCATAGGCATGTGGATGTTATCCTATCACAGACAGCATTGTCCTTCAATATAAATCTTGGAATGTTCTTTTTGACAATGAATGTGAATTTTTAACTCCCAGCATGGTAAACCCTACAATTGTCTGATTCAAAATAGCCAATACCAGAAAACTTAATTGTGCTCATGAGGAACTTGTACATAAACCAAGAGGCAGTCATTCAAACAGATCAAAGGAGTGCTGATTGTTTTAAAATCTGAAAAGGTGTGCATCAGGGTTGTCTTCTTTCACCACACTTGTCCAACCTGTATGTTGAGCAAATAATCAGAGAAGCTGGACTATATGAAGAAAAATGTGGCATCAGGATTGGAGCATGGCTCAGTAACAACCTGTGATATGCAATTGACACAACCTTGTTTAGTTAAAGTGATGAGGACTTAAAGCACTTACTGTTGAAAATCACAGAATACAGTCTTTAGCATGTATTTTTCCTCAATGTAAAGAAAACAAAGATCCTCACAAATGGACCAATAAATGATAGCATGAGAAATGTAGAAAATATTGAAGTTATCAAAGATTTCATTTTACTTGGATCCACAATCAATGTCCATGAAAAAAGCAGTCAAGAAATCAAATGATGTATTCAACTGGGCAAATCTGCTATGAAAGATCTCTTTAAAGTGTTCAAGAGCAAATATGTTACTTTGAGGACTAAGTTATGTCTGACCCAAGCCATGATATTTTCAGTCACTTCATATGTATGCAAAAGCTAGATAACAAATAAGGAAGATCAGTGAAGAGTGGATGCATTTCAGTTATGGCTTTGATGAAGAATACTGAATATAACATGGACTTCCAGAAGAACGAACAGATCTGTTCTGGAAGAAGTGTAGTTGAATTGCTCGTTGGAAGCAATGATGGCAGAACTTTGTCTCTCTGATTTGGACATTTGTAAAAAGAGACCAATCTCTGGAGAAGGATATCATGTTTGGTAAAATGTAAGGTCAGCAAAAAAGAGGAAGAGACTCAGTGAGATGGATTGCTAGAGTGGTTGTAGAAATAGGCTCAAACGTAACAACTTTGAGAATGGCACAGGACCAGGCAGTGTTTCATTCTGTTGTACATAGGATCACTATGAGTTGGAACTGACTCAAAGGCACTTAACAACACAAGCTAAAAGTAACCCTTGATAGCTCTGCTAGAACTCTGTAGACCCTTGCTGTTGTAAGACCCATTGAGTTGGTTCTGATTCATTGTTGTTGTTAGGTGCCATCAAGTTGATACTGACTCACAGTGACCCTATGCACAACAGAACGAAACACTGCCTGGTCCTGGGCCAACCTTACAGTTGTTTCTACACTTGAGCCCATTGATGCTGCCACTCTATCTCATTGGGGGTCTTGCTCTTTTTCTCTGACCCTCCACCTTACCAAACATGATATCCGTCTCCAGTGATTGATCCCTCCTGACAGTATGTCCAAAGTATGTGAGACGAAGTCTGGCCATCTTGACCTCCAAGGAGCACCTTGGCTGCACTTCTTCCAAAATGGATCGATTGGTTCTTCTGGCAGCCCATGGCACCTTCAATAGTCTCCTCCAACACCATAACTCAAAAGCATTAATTCTTCGGTCTTCCTTACTCACTGTCCAGCTTTTGCATGCATATGAGGTTATTGACAATACCATGGTTTGCATCAGGTGTGCTTTAGTCCTCAAGCTGATATCTTTGCTCTTCAATACTTTAAAAAGGTCTTGTGAACCAGATTTGCCTAGTGTAATACAGCATTTGATTTCTTGACTGCTGCTTCCATGAGTGTTGACGGTTGATCCAAGAAAAATTAAGTCTTTGACAACTTCAATCTTTTCTCTATTGATAAAAGAATGTTGTTTACTAGTCCAGTGATGAGGATTTTTGTTTTCTTCACATTGAGATGCAATCCATGAAGGCTGTGGTCTTTGGTCTTTATCAGTGAGTATTTTAAGTCCTCTTCAATTTCAGCAAGCAAGGTTGTATCATCTGCGTATCGCAGGTTGTTAATGAGTCTTCCTCCAATCCTGATGCCACGTTTTTCTTCAGATAACCAAGCTTCTTAGATTATTTGCTCAGTATACAGGTTGAATAAGTATGGTGAAAGAATACAACCCTGTCGCATACCTTTCCTAATAGAGACCTTGTACAGTGTTTCCGAGGAATGGCTGGTGGGTTTGAACCACTAACCTTGCAGTTAGTAGTCCAGAACTTATTCTACAATACTTCACCAGGACTCTGTAGAACCAGACTCGTAATAACTTAATTCTATCTCTAGGTTCTTAGATTTCTTCTGTCCTTTTCTCCACTTTATAAGTTAAAGAGAGGACTGCTTTTTCACCAAAATAGGGGTAAGCCTATACAAGTTTATTTCTACCATTTCTCAGAAGTAGCTATCAATCATTTTTCTTTTTATAAATGAAGAATCTGAGCCTCAATGTCAAATAAAGATGAACTGATAGACCGTGCCCTTGAGAGCTGTGCGGTCTGGTGACCGGCTCTGAGGAGGAAAATCCTACTTCTATAGAAACCTCAAAATGCAGGTAATTTTTAATTTTCTTCATTGAGTGTAGAGAAATATGTTTACAGATTGTTCCTTTCTGTTCTTGAAACAGAGCAATAAAAAAGAAGAAGCCAGCCTTCCTCGCCCCCCTTGTTCCATTAAGCTTTGTCTTCACCTACCAGTATGACCTGGGCTATGGAACCCTTCTACAAAGAATGAAAGGTATGTCTCTGAACAACCAGAGTTTCTGCTTCCTTGTTCAGGAACTCAGGAAGTCTCCCTTCACTTAGTGGTTACTGCAACTTGTGAGAACCAGCGTAATGAGAACTGACTGCTGCATTTTCAGATATTTTTTTAATAAATTGGTTGTAAATGCCAGTCATTGTTAAACATTAAATTCTAAAAGTTTACAATTAAAGTTTTGAAAACATATTAAATTGTTAAAAACAAAGATACTACTCGGAACGCATGAGTTTCATGATTTTACTGTTATCTACAGTAACCCTATTTCTATGGTATCTGTGTGTAGTCCTACAAATACAAAATACAGATACAACAAAATGCAGCTACACCTCTGCCTTCACCAGTGTCCTGTTGGTAGCTTAAAGTTGGTCATGGTGAGAGTATTTATACTAAGGAAATAGGAAAACGTGAGAAGTCAGGGCTTGATCTTTTGTTGTGTTGATTGATAGATCAGGGGTTAGCAATATGGTCTGCAGGTCAGCGTCATGTTTTTGAGACTAGACTTTTATTGGAACACAGCCATACCCAGTCTTCTATATATGATCTATGGCCTAAAGTCAACACTATTTCCTGACTGGTTATAAAGGCCATGGGGCCAGACCTCCTCTAACTTCACAAGTTGGGAGGAGGAGAATCACCGTCAGCATCAGCCCAAAGCCAGACATGCCTCCGCCTCCCAGCCTTCCTCACTAATTCCGACACAAACCATCCCTCCCACTCAGCTGGATTCATAATTCATTGCAATGGCCACACAGAACTCAGACAATACTCACGATTATGGGATTTCCTAGGGAAGTTAACGAGTTACAATTGAGAATCAGAAATGCTCAGGATACTATGAAATGCTCAATGGCATTCAACACCAACACCAAGAATCTGATTCTGCAAAAATAAAGTTTATACTATTCTCAAACAAGTGAAGTTCCCACACACACCTTTGTCGTACTCACTAGTATAAGCGAAAATATTCAACATTATTCATGTTAAAATTGTACTCTTCTGTCAACTGCATAGTTTGCCTGTGACAATAAGAATGCAACAAAGGTCAATGAAAGCATTCTGTGAGCACCAACCTACACTATGGAACTGATGAGATCAAGTGTATCATACATGTTAGGATTTGTAAATGACAAGCTATGTATACCTTGTCAGTACAATTTATAATAACACATCTACAAGATGAGCTGGCATCCTTCTTTCTGGAGATGTGGTGGGCAAACATGTAGCAGCATAGGCTCTCACAGACCTCTGGCTCTCACTGCCCTGGAGGATGGAGCAGCTGCTGCAACAGAAATCTCTCTGTCTCAGGGCTTTAGAGTTGCCCACTAGCATGGGCTCTCCCTGCCCTCTCCACCCAAACACTCACCACTTTTCTGGGCGGTACATCATCATGAAGGTCCTCGTGTTCCTACTCTCAAGCCTTCAGTCTAGAGCACATCAGGAACAGCACCTTCCCAAGCCTGCATCTTGGTTATCTTGAGTTCTCCTAGACTCTGAAGCCGTTTGTTATGGTTTGTGATGGGAAAAGAGGAGGTACAGACCACTCTTCCGGTTTGGAGTAGGGATAAGACATCACATTCCTTCTTCAAAATTCTCATTTGAAAATGGAACGCATTTTCCACATAGAACATTTGTTAAAATATCCATTTGGGTTTGGGCATTATTGGTATCATATGTTGTTAGTAAGTGCTGTGGGGTCGGTTTCAACTCATAGTGACCCTATATAGAGTTTCCAAAGCTGTAAATCTTTGCAGGAGTAGAAAACCACATCTTTTCTCCCACCAATGAGAGACTGGTAGGCTCACACTGCCAGCTTGGTAATTTTCACTTCAGTGCTTATCCTATAACTCCACTGCGCTCCCAATCACAGGCATAGAGGCTTGGATTTACAGTACACCACAAAATGGAGGAATAAAGCTAGAAAAGCCAAATTAAGTAATTCACTACACTGCAATCATATTACTAATATGAAACACTTCATTTCCTAAGGAAATTTTTTTTTGTATATTTGGAAAGTAACTTTATTATAGGTACATCCAAGTCTACAAAATATAAAATTACAAATTTCTAAGACATTTTAAGGGAAATTTCTGTAGAACCTGTCACATTAGAAAGTTAAGTTATAGATATTTCCCATTAAATAGTGATGGACCCTAAATATTCCATCTCTTTGAGTGAATTTGTCATTAGCCATTCTGTAAACACATACCAATACTTTCACATGGAAAACACCTGTCATTAATGGTCTGCCTTGGTATATACACTTTTGCTTTGTTTTTCAGCTTTTGTTGTTAATCGAGTGATAGTTTACATGGGAGAACATTGGGTTTGCACTCATCCTATCGTATTTGTTTCATTGGAATGATTACAATCCCCTCCATACTTCATCATTCAACAGTATTTGCTTCTGTTCTCTCTGATTTGTTTTGTTTTGTTTTTTGGATGTACACAAAAACACTCAGGAATATATAATAATTTAAACAACCAAAGGGCAAGTTCTGCAAGCCTGCCTCCTGGCTGCCAGCACACAGCTTTTCTCTTTCCATGAGTTTAGAGTCCTCAGCAGCGGTATATACAGTTTTATAATGACTTGTACTTACTACTTAAGAGAGAGCAAAAAAGAAGTTTTCAGAGAGGTGCAATACTTAAGTACTTTAGAAGTATTTACAGAAAGCATCTGCCTTCCTTCCCAAAGCAGGTGTATAGAATGCAAATAATATGCATTTCATTATAATTTTACATTTTTTTGCTCATTAGTCTTCAACAATAGTAGTTAGTAAATATTATTGGCTTGAAGAAAATACTGAATTATCTAGCTGTTGTTTGAGAGAAGAATGGTTTATATGTATTATGTATACAAACTGAAAAATACTCAATATTATCTGGGATGTTTCCAATTGGTTTCGGGTGAAAGATTAGCTTTCCTGAAAAGTCAGAACTTTTAGCATACTTGATTTTCTCTCATGCCACTTATTATATTAAGGGCATGAACCCAAACCAAGTCCACTGCCATTAATCAGAACACTCTAGGACAGAGTTGAACTGCTCTCTAGCGTTTCTGAGGCTGTAAATCTTGATGAGAGCAGACAGCCTCATCTTTCTCCACGGAGCAGCTGGTGGGTTTGAACTGTCAGCCTTGTGGTTATCAGCCAAGTGCATAACCTACCATACCACCAAGGATCACTATGAGTTGGAACTGATTCAAAGGCACTTAACAACAACAAGCTAAAAGTAACCCTTGATAGCTCTGCTAGAACTCTGTAGACCCTTGCTGTTGTAAGACCCATTGCGTTGGTTGCTGTTGAGTTGGTTCTGATTTATTGTTGTTGTTAGGTGCCATCAAGATGGTACTGACACATAGCGGCAGCTGGTGAGTTTGAACTGCCAGCCTTGTGGTTATCAGCCCAGTGCATAACCCACTATACCACCAAGGCTTCTTCATAGGAAACAGGAAGGACCATATGTGACTCTCCCACCCCAAACCCTCCAAACAACTAATACTGATCATCCAGACTTTTGTTCAATGCTTATGGTCCCTTCTGTTCTACATTTTACCATGCTGCCATCTGCCTGGTTTAGGCTCTGGCTTGTGGTCTGTCTCTCTCTGAGTCTGCAGAAGTCAGGACTGTGCTTCCTTTGGGAGACGCATCGTTCTCCCAAGGATGGTGGCTGGAGCTCTGGGAGGTTTGGAGATGTGTTCCCACACGGAATGTCAGCATTGTTGAATGTCAGGCCTTTCCACAAAACTCTGATGAACTGGTGTCCCCTTGCCTGTTTCTGTGCTTCATTTAGGGGAGGCCGAGAGCATACTGGACACAGAGAAGAGTATGCTGCAGCTGCCAGGAGGAGTGATCACTTTTGAAAGCCTTGAAAAAGCCCGAAGGGAACAGAGTCAATTTTTCATCAACAAATGAAGTCATGTCTGCCCACTGAATTGCAAAGCACAGAATTGCTGGTGTGAATCATGGTTTCTACAGTTTTCTGAATGCCCAGGATTTTGATATAATGGATTTTGTTGTAAAATTTTAAAACACAGAATGAGTTTTGTTTAACTATTTTAAAATAAAATTTTTAACATTTAATAAAAAATCATGGACGTTTTCTAACTCCCTTTGAGACTTTCTATGTATTGTGTGTGTATTGCCAATATCTAAGCACATTAATAAATTGAATTGCTTTAAATTCCTGGAGACAGCTGTCAGCCGGGCTGCCCTTTCTCTGTCTCACACACCCGTCTCCTCTGGATGCACCCAGTGCTTGGATTTATCAGTGGGTCAAGATGATGACCAGGCACTCTCCTGAGTGTTTTGTGTAGACCACTCCATGTAATCGTCCCAGGAGTCCCATGAAACATGTCATTTTATCGATGTGGAATCTGAGTCACAGAGGACTTGGATTGCTTGGTCAACGTATAGATGCAGCAAGAGCAAGACTTAGATCTGAATGCAGATAGTTTGGTTCCTGTGTCTGTGTGATAAAAGTTAGGCCACAACTCATTCTGGCATGCTAAGACAACTGTGAAAAAGAAAAGGTAAAACCACTCAGATAGGACTCCGTGGATAGTCCTTGAGGAGTTGGGAGTAAAGGGTGACTTTTTTTTTTTCAAGATTCCTTTGCTGTTATTAAGTTTTATCTACTCCATTCTAACTCATAGAGAGAGACTCTGTATAAGGTTTCTAAGGAGCAACTGGTGGGTTTGCACTGCCGACCTACAGTTAGCATTTCAGTGCTTACCTTACAGTGCCACACCAGGACTCCTTAAACTCACTGAAAATGCTTATGTTGTTGTTGTTAGGTGCTATGAGTTGATATCGACTAATAGCGACCCTAAGCACAGCAGAACGAAACACTGCCCGGTCCCAGGCCAACCTCACTATTGTTGCCAAGCTTGAGCCCATTGATGCTGCCACTTTGCCAATCCATCTCGCTGGGGGGTCTTCCTCTTTTTCTCTGACTCTCCACTTTACCAAACATGATATCCTTCTCCAGCGACTGGCCCCTCCTGACAATATGTCCGAAGTGTGAGAGACAAAGTTTGGCCATCTTGTCCTCCAAGGAGCACTCTGGCTGCACTTCTTCCAACACAGACAGATCTCTTGGTTCTTTTGATAGCCCATGGCACTTTCAATATTCTCCTCAAGCATCAAAACACAAAAGCATCAATTCTTCTACAGTCTTCCTTATTCACTGTACAGCTTTCACATGCATATGAGGTTATTGAAAATACCATGGCTTGGGTCAGGTGCACCTTAGTCCTCAAGCTGACATCTTCGCTCTTCAACGCTATAAAAAGGTCTTGTGCAACAGATAAAAATAATCTTATTAGTACCCATCCTTCTCAAGTGCAAACTGCATATAATACACTCATTTTGGAGTCCTGTTTTGGTGTTGTAAAGTAAGCATTGAACTACTAACCACAAGGCTAGCGGTTCAAACCCACCAGCTGCTCCTTGGAAACCCTATACAGGGTCACTATGATTCAGAACTGACTGAATGGCACTTGACGACAACAACATCAATACTAAGATGAATGAGGAAGAAAGTACTGGGCAACTTTGGCAGAATGAAAGCTTTGTAGATCACAGTGATCCAACCCTCAATGGATCATGGGGATGACGCAGGATAGGGCATTGTTTTGTCCTGTTGTGCATGAAGTGGTCATGAGTAGTGCCGACTTAATGGCCACTAACAACAGGAACAGCAATGGAAGGAACTGACTACACCAGTGAGAGAGCTGACTGAGAGCCTGCATCCCAGGCAGGTAAGATGTGCACTAGGGAGGGTTTGGAACTGGAGAGGCACAGAACAAGCAAATATGGGGAGAAACAAGACCATTTCTGATGGAGACTAATAGTTCAATGGAAATAAAACCAGATGGAATGATGGGGAAGATGTGAGGGTGCGGGGGGAGGAGGCTATTTTGAACTGGGGCTGCAAGGACTGCCTGGGCACAGGTGACATTTGAACTTATGCCTGAGTGATGAGTGAGCCAGTCCTGTGGAGATCAGGATGTCGGACCATGGGGGGTGGTCTCCAGGCCGTGGGGAGACTCCTATGAAAGGTTCTAGGGTTGGCAAAGTCCAAGAAGAGCAACTAGGTAATATTTGGGGTTGAAATATGAAGGGGGGAACCAAGTCTGAATGTGCTGTGGTCGCTCCCTTCAAGGAGCTGAGAACATACCACATGGCCTTGAAGCAATTTCAGTTAAAGAGAAGAACCATGGGCAAAGTCTTAAAGGACACAGAGAAGTTTTCCATAAAGACAAGGAAGTGGAGAGGAAGGGCAGCCAAGAGGAAGGAACAGGTTGAACAAGAGCAGGACCATGTTTGCCAGGTCCTGGGAGTCATTGGTTGTTAGGTTTGGCTGGTGCAAGCAGTTCCTCCTATGGGAGAACTTGTTTGGAATGCGCCTGAGTACACAAGTCTACTCTTGCACAGCTGTGTTGTCTTATCAAGGAGTTTGGAGTCTGTCCTGGGAGGGGATGGGAGACAAGAATTAGAATTGGAATTTTACTGTGTTAGTAGCTTAGGAAAAGGAGCTCTGGTGACACTATGGCTAAGCACATGACTACTAACTGAAAGGTCTGCAGTCTAACTCACCAGCAGATCACCAAGAGCAAAGACCTGGTGATCTGTTCCTGTAAACCCTGCCTGTTGTTGTTAGGTGCCTTCAAGTGGGTACCAACTCCCAGCGACCCACTGCACAACAGAATGAAACACTGCCCAGTCCTAGGCCAACCTCACTATTGTGGCCACACTTGAGTCCATTGATGCTGCCACTTTGCCAATCCATCTTGCTGGGGGATCTTTCTCTTTTTCTGACCCTCCACCTTACCAAGCATGATATCCTTCTCCAGTGACTGGTCCCTCCTGACAATATGTCTGAAGTATGAGAGACAAAGTTTGGCCATTCTGACCTCCAAGGAGCACTCTGGCTGCACTTCTTCCAACACAGACAGATCTGTTGGTTCTTTTGGCAGCCCATGGCCCTTTCAATATTCTCCTCCAACACTGTAACACAACGTAGGAAACTCCATAAACAGTTCCACTCTGTCATGCAGGGTCACTTCAAGTGAGAGTTGACTTGACAGCACACACAACACTAGGTTGGAAGAGAAGAGTCCAGACATTGAGGAACTAAAATGCTCTACCTGACTGCTGGCCAGCGCTGGAATTAAGGCTGCAACCTTGGGTGGACTTGAGAAAAGGAACAGAAAACATAGCAGAATCAGGCCTAGTCTGAGGCCTTAGACCTGTCTCTTCTATTAATCTGCATGGACTGTTCAGGGCCCTGGTGGGTCTGGAGAAGAAATGACTGGGAGGTACCCTGATGGGCCCACAGATGCCTAGCGACTAGGACTGGTGTGTAGACTACCCCAGAGTCTGGAATTGTATTTCTTTCTCTTTATATGCAGTCATGCTAGCCAAGAGTTCCTGACCTAGTCTAACCACGGCTCACCATGAGTGGGTCTGGGTCCCTCCCCAAGGGAGGATCTGGCTAAAGACCTTACATAGGGTTTGTGTGGCTGTGCAATGAAGCTGGGCCTGAACCCTCTGCACCACCAGCCCATTCATTTGTATTGCCTTCTTTCCCTGGTGCTGACTGGGGTTCAGCAGTAATTCTAGATCAATGCAGCTCCTGCTAAACACACACATACACACATACTTGTTTGTTTGCTCCTAATTATGTGTGGTAAGGCAAAAATCAAAGTAGAGCTATTAAATTGGCTTTGCAAAAACTATATTAAGCGCACAAGTGGAATGCAGGACCTTGTCCAGAGAAGCAACGATGTCACAGATGGAAGCAGAGATGGGGACATGGAGAGAGGGAGCAGCTGAGGACTCTAGATTCATGGAAAGAGAAGGACTGAGAGCTGGTGACCAGGAGGCACAACATGCAGAATGGGCTCTTTGGTGGTGTAAATTATTATATATGCCTGAGTGTTTTTTTGTTTTAAAAAGAACAGTATTTAAAAATGAGAAATACTGTTAACTGATGGTACATGGAGGGGACTAGAATCATTGTAATGAAATAAAGTATATGATTTGTTGAATGTAAAACTGATGATCTGTCCTGTAAACATTCACTCAAATCACAATAAAAACTTTAAAAAGTTATATTAAGACGTATCTCAATTATCCTTGATATTATTGACAATTTAAAACTTTACCCCTTAATTACAAAAAAAATCAAGCTTATGATTGTTGAGTAGATTCTGACTCATAATGACCCTACAGAACAGAGTGGATGTGTCCCACTGGGTCTCCAAGGCTGCCATCTTCATGGAGGCACACGGCCACATTGTTCCAAGGCTGCCATCTTTATGGAGGCACACGGCCACATTTTCCTCCTATAGAGCAGCTTGAGGGCTCCTACCACCAACCATTCCATTATCAGAGAGCACTTAACCTGTGCACAATCAGGGGCTTCTTCTTTATAATTACGGTGCCCTTTTACTCAAAGGACAAAAGTTTCTACTCTAACACTCTAGAGCTATTTCTTAGTCATTTACATTAATTAAATATTTTTCATCATCATCATTAAGGTCTGGTTAACTAACTGGTGGTAGTGGTGGTTGTGTGTCACCAAGTTGTTTCCAACTCATTGCAACCCTGTGTAGGGTTTCCAAGGAGTGGCTGTTGTGTTTGAACCACCATCCTTGCTGTTCAAACCAACCTTGCATTCAAGTACATTATCCCACAGCACCACACCAGTAGTACTAGATACGTTATATTTACAAATACGGATGCAATCTTTGTTCAGCTAGCTTATCGTCATCACAATTTTGGTGAGATTACAAGAAAAAATAAGCATATAAACACTGAAAAAATTATTAGGTACAGTGTTAGGTCAGACCTAATCCCTGGATGTTTGAGTTGCATCAAAACATGCCAGGCCAGCCAAGGCCAGGTGA